ATTAATTTACTGCTGAAAGCATTTGCGACGTCCATAGTTCCAATATCACCTACGCTGTTCGATTCCTATCAGGTACTTCACACCACGCGATAGTTGACAATCTGCAGGAGACCCACTGACGGTTGCCTCTCGTCAAGCCCACTGCATTCCGTGAGAAGATGGCTCCGCTGATTCTGTGGTCATTTCTTGTCTTTGGACTCGGGGGTATGTTTATTTTTTGTCTTTCGAGATAAATTTTACAATATCCTTCTAATCTAGCATTAATGCAGAACTAAAAAAAAATGTTTCCGGTGAGCAAGAGGGAAATCCTCAGAGCTATGATGTCTTTAGGGTCTGATTCCCTTTCATTTTGTTATTTTGGATGCAAAATGTCAAGGGAAATGACAGCTTTCTCACGCACATAGTCTTTACGCGTTCAAGACAAAGGTCGGGGTATGCACGTCTCTCTACAAACCTTGATCTGCCACTGAATAGAAAACACGGTATTAATTAAGTGCAAAGAATGAGCTAATCATGAAGGCATGGACACTTCTCTTTTTTTTTCTAATACGGATAAACGTCTTCAAAAACTTTGTCTTACAAAACCCTGTGGGCTCGGAAAAGAAGATCGGATGTTTATTGCTTTGGATTAGCAGTATTTCGGTACTTTTTTGCCTTAAAGGGACACGTCCTGAGACAGCCCAATATTGGGCTACAAAACGCGCTTTGAACGAAATGATGTTAATGGGAAAGAACATTTAAAAGTAAGATATAAACATCCGCACAAATATCCTTTAGAAACTGGGCGTTTTGTGTTATTCCTGTGTTATGCGTGCGGGAACAACTTTCGGAGTCCTCTTTTGCGACCCCAAAATGTCCAGGTGTTTGAGTGCTAGTTGTGATTTCATCCGTAAAGTGTTCGCCTTTTGCGAACGTGTAAGAAACCACTTTTTGTACATTAGCGAGCACGGTGCTGTATTATGTACGTTATAGATACACACAACGTGGTTGGTTTCCTTTCATTAACCAGAATGTTTAAAATGGGATAAGTAAACAATCCAAAACATGAAACTTTGGGGATTTCTGGACCTAGATCCCGTTTAACTTTCATTTGGTGTAATATGAACACCGGGCACTCATTGGAGGGGCTTTAACTTTGTGATGACGTCATTTATATAGACCTTTCGAGAATTTTTGTTAGCTACATTTTTTATTTCCCGTTTGCGTAGATTGCCAACGCTTTATGAAAAATGTTACAGTTTGAAAAGTGGCAAATTTAAAGATTACGCGAGGTGAAACTGCTATAAGCGTAACCACACATGGCCGTAATTATCCCCTATCGGGTACTGCACAGTGCCCGAACAAGGCGCGGGTAATTAGTTTCCCGTGCTCCCATGTATACAATGCAAGGTATCCCTGCGCGATCGATATTCCCAGCAATTCGTTTCTGGCAGCGTTGTCACGAAACAATTTCCACTTGCGTACTAGCCTTGACCAAGGCTATCAGCTTGTTCCCATACGAGCTTGTTCCCGCTACCGCACACCGCGCGCGCCGCGACTCAATCACTAGTTGTACTATACCGGTTAGCCCCAACGACCCTTGCGTGTGCTTTGTGTGCATGTACGTACGCCCCAAACACACTTCCGCAAACAGCCGTACAGTAAGTCGAGGCGGAAGATAGCCTTGACGCAACCGTGTATGCTGAATATGATAATTAGTACGCGCTATGGTAAATAGTCTTCTCTCATTGGATAACGGCTGACAAAAAAATGAATATTTATTAAATTGCATAATACGACCAAAGGTATATAAACCAGACGGCCTGTGGTAACAATATTTATTGTAAAACACCCCCTTAACATCTTCAATAATAGTAGAATAATATGAAATGAAAAAGGATGAACAATTAGACCTTCAAAAAACGGCAAACGTTTGAGTATATCTACCGCTGACTTTTGGGGGGTATTTCTTCGAAGCTGTCAAGGGGATATGGGAAAAAAATATCTCTCCTTCAGCAAACTTATTCCGTACGACTGATTTTAACTTGTATGAACAACTTATAAGTTATATGTCGTATGTACGACTAATATATCGACAGGGTACGACATATTTTGACAGGGTACGACTAATATCATCGACAGGGTACGACATATATGTCGACAGGGTATGACATATCAAACATATGACATAATGTCGACAGGTGCCGGTACGACATATATGTCGTGCATATGTCGAGTCGACAGGGTACGATATATGTCGTATATAAGTACGACTTAATATCTCGTGTGTACAAAATATGAATTGTAACTCGTATGTTCGACTTGTTTGTCGATTATGTCGTACATACAACATATCTTGTGAGAACGTACGTACGTACATGCACACAAAGCACACGCAAGGGTCGTTGGGGATAACGGTATAGTACAACTAGTGATTTTGTCGCGGCGCGCGCAGTGTGCGTTAGCGGGAACAAGCTCGTATGGGAACAAGCTGATAGCCTTGGTCAAGGCTACTTGCGTACCCATAAAATTAATTGGCAACGTTTCAAATTGACCATTTTTCATTGACAGCCATTTTTCAATTTACAGTCTTTGGTAGCAAACGGGGTCTCAAAATGTAGCCAACAACATCCTAAATATAAATGACGTCATCATAAGACGACCAGATCCTAAATTATGACCCCTCCAATGCGGGTGGACTTTTTTTTTTGGCGGTCTTTATGACGAGCTCATATGATTATCTCATTTTTCAGAGCACCGGTTACGGTAGGCTTTATGATAGAGATCGGTGACACAAATGACACTGTTTTTGTGTATTCTTTGTTTGCTATCTGTAAGTTACATAGGCCTACTTACATTTAAAAGTGTTTTTTTATGTTGGTCATCTGAGGTATAGGGGAAAGGGCATGTCACCAAGGATCATCGGCAAATCACTGCCATTAACTAGGTTTGAAGAATAGGCTGGGCTTTGGAATACAAGTTTTGAAGTAAAAAATTGTTACATTTGTTTGTACCATTTCGTTTATTATTGAAATCATCACGATGGGTAGGAAAGAATTATCATCGAATTGTTGGTTTGAATTCAAATCTTCATAAACTCAGACCTCACACCCAACCACCGATACAACTGGATTGCTTTGTGTACTGGTATTTCAAACGCACAGGTAAAAATATAAAGGGTGTTACGATAACCCAATGACATGCAAGTGTGTGTTCTGATTTGATTGATGTGTTGTGTGTCGTACCGGATAACCAGTTCTATCGTAGACGAAAAAACCATACTGGTCGAAACGTCGAGTGAACTGAATTTTCTTGAAATGACACGTACATGCACACCAATGCGGGGTAATACTATTCTGATGCTCCATCAATTCCTACAATGTTCTTACTTGTCTTAGTGTGGTGAATGAACACTTTGCGAAATTGGCCGGAGGAAAAAAAAATCCATAAGTACTAAAAGTAAGAGTGCTGCCACTTGGTTTGTATCTGGTAGACAAAATAGAGATGCGCAAAGATTGTCATGGCAACATTTAGGTTACTTTAAGAATTGTGTTTTAATTTCCGTCGTACGTGTTGGAAGGAGTGTTCGGGGACGAAGGTGTATGGATATCCTTTGAATTCAAAACAAGGTCGCGCACCTGAAATCAATTCCTGGCCCAAATCAATTTCGTCCCTTCTTGTAGACCTATTGATGTGCAATCAGGCGTCGTAGAGGGCCGCGCTCTGTAATTGGCAGCGCTGACTCTGCTTATGCAACGGGCTTTAAAGGTTTTAATTGTTTCTTCTTCCAGGTATAGTAAATTTAGTCATGTATATTAGAACTATAAACTCGTTCTGCGTTTATATATGAAATAATATTTTACAATTGTTAACCTACTTGCGGCACGACAATTGCATTTATTCTCGAGTCGGCCATATTAAATTGAAAGCGAGGTTAACTCTTCATTTTTTTGGAACTTGCGAGTAGAAATGAGAGCAATGAAATAGAGGTTTGTTACAAATTAACACCAGCCGCGGCCCATTCATGGCAAAGCAGCCTAACTTGAAAAATGATGTTTTGAGAAAATGGAATTTAAACGTAAACTTACTGGGTTTTTTGGGGTTTTTTTTGAATAAGTTTGTTTTTTGCTGTCAAATTGTATGATCATGGGACATATTATATTTTACTTTCCTGTCAAATTTGACGGAACATTTCTGGCTAGTTTTGATATTATAATACATTTCAGAAGTCACTTGCCTTTGCCGCATTATAGTCACATATACAAGCATGCATCATTTTGATGGCAAAACAGTGTATCTTAAGATAAATTTCATGACACGTACTTAAGTTCTTTTGCCTTGAAGACTTCAAAACAATTTTAATCAAATTGAGGACTCAAATTTGCCATAAAAACCATTGATGTTCATAGCTTAAGATGGACACAAGATGTTTTGCCATTGAGAAAAGAGGCAAAGGCTTTAAAATAGTGTGAGATATAGGTGGTGCAGCTATCACCGCGTGTGGTCAACGCGAGCTCAGCACGTAGCAGCTACGTGATTCAGTGGCCTACATGTACAAGTAGGTAACGCGTACTGCGCAGGCCTACATTCCCATATCGCGGCGTGCGATGTTAGGTACATGTGAAAGGGAAGTCGTCTATTCCTGACACCTGGAAATCTTTACCCCATTTTGATCGGTTAAATCAGTTTGAGTAAGAATAAATTTTGCGTTTAAATCACTTTGTTTTTTTTTCAAAAAATGACTGTCATGTGTTCACTATCAATTTTCAGTACTAACAGATGTGGTTGAGAGCCAGATGAAGACTTGTTACTTCGGTCCGCCACCGGAGCCGCTTCCTGGTGAACATTGGATGCAAGCAGCCGCTCGAGAAATACGTAAACGATGCCCAGGGACACGAAACTCGACTGGTAAGGAGAACAAAGCTTTGAACAAAGCTTTGAACACATTTTTTAATAATTACTTCGTAAAAACACTGTTAAAGCGATTTAAATTTATGATAACCTAATTCTGGAGATTCACAATGCAGTGCGCCATCAAGAGTTTGCCATCAAAAGTTTTACGGTCAACAAAACATGAACAATTTGAATGAGTGTCAGTAGACAACTTGAGCTAGTTTGTTATAGATTTGGGCATAGCGTTCTGCCACCTTACAAAAAAACACCATATTGATAAAAAGAAAACAAAAGGGCAAAAAACAGATACTCGAATCATACGCTTACGAAACTACTGACCGGAAAAAGGAACAATTTCAAATGTCCCGCGCTGCGAATTTGTCGACCATCTTTCACAATGCACTGGGAAAATGAACTCTCCATGGCAAACTCTTGGTGGCGCACTGCATTGTGAATCGCCCGAATTGTTTACACAACTTGTGTAAATAAACACATTTACATTAAAAAAAATTTCAATCTACATTATAATTCTGTAAATTCTTTTCGTAAATGTTTACTTAAACTGTATATTTGTTACACAGTTTTGTTTTTACCTATTATAATTTTTACTATTCGTTCTGTGTGTGTACAATCATGCATAGTGTGCAAATGCCCCCTTCTCACGACTATTTTTTAGGGGCTGAGATTATTCGCACGTCAACTTCTAAAATTGACCACTGCCATTTTTTTCTTGGGTTTTTGTTTGTATTTATTTATTTATTTATTTTTGGGGGGCTACACAACTTTGGGGGGGGGGGGGGGGTAGGGGCTACAACCACCTGTCCCCCCTCCCCCTCCCCCCCCCCCCCCCCCCCCCCCCCCGCTCTCCCTCCCCGTAGAACCGCGCCTGCCACTTTCCGGAAAAGAAAAGGGACAAAGGAATAATGCCTGTGCGCAATTTTCCAAATTTGGTATTTTGATTTTTTGGCCCTGACCTGGAGGAATCCGGCTAAAATAATTATACGCGAATGTGTTCTTCATCAAAGAACATCAAAGACTTTTGAAAATGAGACAACATTTTAAATAAAGTATTTTGGTTTGCTTTTCTTCTCTCAATTATTAAGCAGTCAGCCAGGCCAATGTCCAAGAGTCATAGAGCTGCTTAAGCACACAATGTGCTTAAGCACACAAATACCTTGATTATAATATAATCAGGTTACCCGCCAAAACTCCATGCGATTGTTATGCTATGTAAACAACAGCTAAAGCATGTACATCGCATGGCGTTTGGGCCAGTATCTTGATTATATTAGGCAAGGATTTTTTTGCTTATATAAGGCAAAGTTTGTGCCTAAGCAGCTCTATGAAATTGGCCCCAGCAGCTGGTTAACAATTAGACGATGTTACGCCTATTAAAAAAAGGGAATATCAAAGTCCTTAAAATATGAAAGCTAGGTTGAGAGTATTTCTGTCTAATTCTTTCTCACTGATTCAGAAGTCAGCGATAAAGCCACAGCCCCGGTGGAAATCGCGATTTCGACAACTGCCTCAGCTCCCCGATATGCTGACTGTAGAGAGAGTTATGATGCCGGGATACAGTATGATGCCGTGATCACTATCTACCCACCGCAATATCCAAACGGCTTGGCCGTTTATTGCCATTTAGGTTTGGTGGTAAGTTCCTTCCGTTTATGTCATTCGAAGACGCAGTTCATTGGACATGAAATCATCAGTCAGGGCTGTCAGGCCCATTCCTTGACATGGGAGTCGGTGGTTCGTCAACTCCCCAAAGTCGAACTTTTTATGTCAACCTTAACGTACGCAAATATTGTGCTTATGTGAGGTGGTATGCTTATCCTACTGAACGATTTTTGTGTGTATGTAGAAAGGGCATATAAACAAAACAACAAAGCGGGGAATCACGCGGAGCTCTTTGGTGACCGCGCGGCTCTCTCCTTTCCAAACAGTAAAGAATTCACTCAGTTCGATTGCGGCAATTCAATTTATACCACTGAATGAGGGAAAGATGATTTAGAATGAAAATTATTCAAAATAATAAATTAAGTTTTCACTAACTTTTTGACTATTATTTCACTCTAAATTTAAGGTATAAATAGGGTCCCTTGTTTGACTCTGTAGGAACAAACAAGATAGGAGATTTTTTTTCTTCTCAATCTGAACTCCCCATCTGAACACCACCAACGTACGAGTTTGCAGCAATACTTAAAATACCCGCAATATGAAATATTTACTTAATTGGTGGTATCATTTTAAACCAATCGTCCGATATTAATGTGATGTTATGATGATTTATCACGACAGGTCTGGTAGTGTCATTCCGATGTCGCCGTCTTGGATTTTACTTGTCCCTTTTATAATAAAAAAAAGAGATCAATTCGTTCCTTTGCTGTTTTCTCGTTCATTGTTGACTCGTTTTAGGTGATTCAGAAACGTATAGACGGGTCGGTGAATTTCACCCGTAGCTGGGCCGAGTACCGAAGCGGCTTCGGTGATCTGACGGGGGAGTTCTGGCTTGGCAACGAGATAGTACGCCAGCTAACCTCGGAAGGCACTTGGCAACTGCAGATAGTTGTAGGTGGTGGAGGCGGTAGAATACGTTTTAAGCAATTCCAGATCGCAGGTGACGACTACATACTATATGCGGATCCATTTTCTCAATGGCCTACAGGTACTTTTGTAGTGTAATATCCAAAGCCATATATGCCGTGAACCGGACCGTCCGAACGGCATATAAGACAGATAAACCCCGTTGAGTGTTCTTGTGGAAAGTGTTTGACGTTTTTATTCCAGTTCCAGGTGGTAAAAAAAGCATGTCCTTTATTGAAAGTGCAAGTTGTCCTGCCCGGACCACATTTGTATTGGTTTTTCAGTCCCGACCTGATTTTGTGGGATATTATGAAGCCCGGAAAGGGACAGGGTAGAATTTTTGTTTGTAATTTGCTAATTCGTTCGCACGAATTCCTAATTCGTTCGCACGAATTGCTAATTCGTTCGCACGAATTCCTAATTTGTTCGCACGAATTGCTAACTCGTTCGCACGAATTACTATTTCGTTCGCACGAATTACTATTTCGTTCGCACGAATTGCTATTTCGTTCCCACGAATTGCTAATTCGTTCACACGAATTGTTAATTCGTACCAAGAATTGCGAATTCGTTCCCACGAATTACCAACTCGTTCCCACGAATTACTAACGCGTTCCCGGATGCACAAGTTAGCAATTCGTTTCAACGAATTAGGAAATCGTGCGAACGAAATAGCAATTCGTTCCCACGAATTAGCAATTCGTGCGAACGAAATAGCAATTCGTGCGAACGAAATAGGAATTCGTGTGAACGAAATAGCAATTCGTGCGAACGAAATAGCAATTCGTGCGAACGAGTTAGCAATTCGTTCGAACGAATTAGTAAATCGTGGGAACGAGTTAGCAAATTACAAAAAAAAAGATTCCACCCTGTCCCTTCCCGGGCTTCATAGGATTTATCTCCCACGTGTAAAACTGTAATTTCTTCTCATTGTCTCCTTCTAGCGGTTTCGTCAGGCTTTCGAGCTACAGTGCCTAGGACACTTTAAAGGAATTCTTGGTTTACTTGTCTTACTAGAAAAAAATATAAAGTATAAGAAGTGACTTTTAAAATTTCCTCGTATTGAAAAGGGGGTCCGCTTTAGGGGGTCCGCTCATAAGTCCGACGCCTCATACGTCCGACGCTTCATAAGTCCGAAATTTCGGACTAAATGAGGCGTCGGACTTATAAGGCATACAATTTATTTATTCCGCCTCATAGGTCAGATGCCGCATAAGTCCAACGTCTCAAAGCTCCGACGCCTCATAAGTCCGAAACAGTGTTTGTCCATTGTCGGGAATTATGAGGCGTCGAATCTATGAGGCGTCGGACTTATGATTCGGCCCCTTGAAAAGACTCACAATGTTCGGTTAAGAGTTTACTTCATTATTCAAAACGTGTATGTCTCATATTACTTCTATTGATGATTTTTGATAGACACCACCTAGTCTGAGTATCACCCGTTGTCCACGGAGCACAGTCTCCTGTATAACGTCTGTATAATATCAAAGCATGCAGATTTATGCGATCTCACGCCTCCGCCAATCGAAGTCAACTTTACTAAATCGTGACGTTTCATTTCCAAATCAGGACTAAACTTTGGTTGGTCAATTCGAATGCAGTGTTTTGTAATACAACAACAGCCGGGCGGGCGCGTATTGCGTAACATAATGCAAAGCGCGTGACCACAGCCTTTGTTGCTGTGTCTGGGGTATTTTTTTATCCATGTCTATGACGCGACAACGGTGAATGACCAAAGACCCGATATAGAAAGTGCCTGCTGATTGGTCAAAATCAATAGGTCAAGATGCAGTTGTCTTGCATAAAGAATCAGCGAGTCTGCTCAAATGTTATAGACTATGGCTTTCGCCACAAATGTAGTATGACGCAATTGAACAAAAGTAGGATTAAAGTTTGTGGCATTAGACGAACTTAATGTCTGAATAACATGGTGTGGCGTAGACAGACGAAATCGCATAGTCTTGGACGAAATCGTGTGCTCATTGTTTGAATTTGCTTGAGCTATGTTTGAAATTGTCTGACGAAAGACGGAATTTAATATTGGAAGTACACTGAATATAATTAATGTTCCTGGACATTGATTTAAATATTAGAATCGGTGAATGCGAATGCTAAACTTTTTTAAAAATCTGGAAAAACCCATGGCTATGACTTAACATGTGAAAAAGTGTGTACGTCACTGTTAAAATTATATACACTTTTTAGTGGAAATACAGGTTTTACCGGCTATTGTAAAAGAGTTTTCATTGAAATTGACCAACTCTAACATTCAACATTGTCCGAGAAAAATGTCACACGCTTTTTACAAAACCAATTCAGTCATTTACCATTCAATTTCAAAGTTCGGTCACCCTCTTTATAGTACCGGGTGAAGAATATTTGTCAGTACATATCAAATTCGTCTAAGCTGTTGCCAAATGACAGCTTTCAGAGATCGAATTCGTCTTATATAAATCAATTATACGAATCTGATTTCTGAATAACAAGGGTTGGCGTAGACGAGACAAAATCGAGTACTCCGAGACGAAAACGTGTGCTCATTGTTTGAATTGTCTTGAATTGAATTTGAAATTGTCTGACAAAAGACGAGATTAAACATTGGAAGTGCACTTAATTGGTGTTAATGGACGAATTTGAAAACTAGAAACGATGCATTCTAATGACAAACGTTTTCAATTAGCCGGGAATACCTATACTTTTCCCGTCTGTTTCCTAGGCAAGTCACTGACTGACGTTCACTCAGGCCAGCCGTTCTCAACCTACGACCGCGACAATGACGCCGATGGCAACGCCAATTGTGCCGCTCAGCTGAAGGGAGGCTGGTGGTTCAAGACTTGTACTGGAGGAGTCTGGAATGTGGATCTCGTGCCGACTAACCTGAATGGGGAGTATTCTATCCCGTCAACTACACGGGGCAAGATTACCGCGGTATGAGGTGGGCTGGTGCATTGGATGGCCAAATGTCGAGTTCCTCCCTCATGATTCGTCGCGGGAGTATGAATTAATGTTATTTCCCTTGCTGCAAATTACACGATTCCTTCGTAAAATGTTTGTCATTTATTTGGAAATATCTTCGGAGGGTCTTGTTAAACGGTCAAATGGAAACTGATTGGATTTCGCAGTTTCGTCCTCGCTAGAACAGGGTTTTTTCCAAGCCCATCAAACGGTTCCAACATAAGGGGTCGTTTAGGCTTTTGGTATCAATATTAGAATAATAAACATAGAATAGAGTGGTAATCTGTTCAACATTATGAACAGGTGTTTAGTATGAGGTTTTTATCTGTTAACGAGATGAGCTTAAGATACAATTATTAATGTTATAATAAAATGATAAATATTTTTTTAGCATTCAGAGAAGTGAGTAACTAAACCTATTATCTCAAAATGTAGGGTTCCATACCTTTTCTCGGGAATATAATGATTTATTGACTATAGGTTTTTCCGGCTATTTTAAAGGAGTTTTCGTTCAAATTCACCCGCTTTTAACAGAATCAATCGAGTCAATAACCGACAAATTTCAAAGTTCTGCTACCCTCTTTAGTTAGCGGGTCGAGAATATTCGTCATTACAGATCAAATTCGTCCAAGCTGTTGCCGAAGGCAGCATTCCGGGATCGAATTCGTCTTAGATTTTGATTTCTGAATAACAAGGTTTGGCGTAGACGAGATGAAATCGAATACTCCGGGACAAAAACGTGTGCTCATTGTTTGAATTTTCTTGAACTGAATTTGAAGTTTTCTGACAAAAGACAAATTAAACATTTGAAATGCAATAAATCGATGTTGATGGACGGATATTGAACTTTAAAAACAGTGAATTAGAATGATAAACGTTTTGAAATAGCCGTGAAAACCTATAATAGGCAGCCATATTTACACAATTTCTTAAGGTTTTTTGTAAAATTGTGATGTAAGTAAACTGCATTATGTCACTGTTTCATATTTTGTGCAATAAAAAAAATGAAAAGAAAGTTTGGACGTTAAGGATTTACATTGTATGTTTGAATCTGCAATTATCTCTAAGCTACAAGACATAATGCAAGATCCTACCCATCCGCTCCATTCTTCGGTGGTTGTCAACAAATCAGGAAGAATTCGCCCTCCACGAACCCGCACTAAGCGCTTCAGAATGTCATTCTTGCCTAATGCATGCCATCTATTCAACACTCAATTCAAAAGATAATCCCCTGTTTTTTGTCTTGTCCTTTTTTCCTGGTATGCTGGCATCCACTCACGTGTTTTTATTGTAAAGAGCTCTTTTTAATTGTGTCTTTTACAAGGTTCCTTGTTCTAACAATCTGGTGTTTTTATTTGTTGGATGACAACCTTGTAATTTTTGATAGTCTGTAAATATAGTCTCTGTCATTGTGTTAATATCTTATAGTACCTTTTGTTTTTTACATCAAATTTTATTTATTTTACATTCGTATATATCTGCGGTCTTATTGTACATGTATAATGCACACTGGAAAACAATTTTTCATGTTTTTTACGTGACGAGTATAATTAATTGAATTGAATTGAAATGAAAGTTTGAACAAGAAGGCAAAGCTGCGATGTATCTCTTCCGTGCTAGTAGAATCAAGAACTTTAAAATTAAGCTTGTTTTCGTGAAAACTAAAGGATAAGAAAGTGATACATTTTTAAACACTCTAAATGGCACACTTAAATAATGAAGATATCAAACATTAATAATGAAGTGATTATAGATAACAAGGTTTTCAGACAATTTTGCCTCTTTTCAGAGACCATAAATATGGGAAACAAATTAATAGAGTGGCTTGCATCATGTTTTCAAGGTGAACTTCAAATATTTATTTTCCAAATTACCCTGTTGAACACTCAACTTCAGGGCCTAATATTATGAAAATTGATGACGTTAGGAGATTTAAATCCAGCAGGTGATAAAGGGTGTCCTGCTAGTATGACTAAAATTAATGATCAATATAAAAGGTGCAGAATATCGTCAAAATATCGGTTGCCATGGTAATATGATTCAAGAAAGCCATACACGCACACGCACAACACCAAACCAACCGTGTTTTTTTTTCCAATACAGTTGGTGGCGGAAACGCGCATCTATTTTTAAATGCCATTTTTCTCGAAATGAGATTTTCGAAGTTCGGCATATCTTCAGAATAAATTTTGAGCTACATATGTAAATTTGATCTCATTGGAAAGCTCATGAGTTATTGTGTAACACGGTGTATAAAACTCAAACCCCACAAAGGTGGCCCAGTGGGTTATGCCTCATTATGCATTATCAATTTGAGTTACAGATATAAATTTGGTCTCACTGGAGAGCTCATGAGTTGCTATGGCGCGTCACAAAGTACCGGTCACCTAAAATAATTTCACCAAACACGATAAAGCTGCGATTGTTAGAAATGTCACGGCTGACAAATACGTTTTACAGTTCTTGAAATAGACCTTGCATTTGTAGGGTAGAGGCAGTGATTGCATGGTACAATATACCAGTCTTTAAGGCCCCCTTTACACACGGCTGCGACCTTTGTGCCACCTGAGGGGCCAAAAAATGGCCAGGACGTTCAATGGTCGTCTAAATTCAGCAAATCCTGTTTCTATGTAACTGCTCCAGCTATCCTTGTGCCTCCCTTGAACCACCAAAACTGCAATTTCGGGAATGTATTTAAGGCGAGCTATACGAGCGACCTGTGCGCATGCGTCCACTAAGCCTCTTGTCTGCTTCCCTTGTGCTTTTCCTGTGCAACCTACGGCAACCAACGCCGAATGGAGGCACAGCAGTTGCCACATGCAGTCATAGTTCAATGCACGCTATTGGTCGGCCAAAGGAGGCACAAGGGAGGCAGAAGCATTTCGCCCAGATTGACGGTAAAATTTGCAACAGAACGGATCTATATTATACGTGGCGACCATTGGCCAACCATTGTGCATCCATTCTGCAACCACGGCAATGCTTGTGCCTCCCTTCTGCCTCATTTGAGCCACCTTTGAGCAACCAACCTCCTCGGCGACCTTTGTGCGACTGTTTTGAACATGTTCAAAAATTTACGGCGACCATGGCGATGCCTGAACATCCTGTGATCCACCTTTGAACGACCCAGGCAACCATTCGGCCTCCAAATTTGAGCCTCCAATGGCGATCTAGCCAGTTTTATGGTCGCACAAGGGAGGCCCAAAGGTCGCAGCCCTGTGTAAATGGGGCCTTATAGACCCACATTGTGAAAAAGCCTGGTAAATTAGCAACTCTCCCCCCCCCCCCCCGGATTTTACGTCCACGGTGAAATATTTTACACCGATTATGCTTGAAAATTCAACCTATTTGCCAATCCCAACACGATGTCAATATTACATCACGCGTAGCCTACCTTCATTGGCGAAAGCGTTACGCTAGCCCCGTTCAGATTTTCCGTCACGGGGCAGTTGCATTTTACAATTTGGCGTTCACATCCATGGTACTCCACTGAAGGGGAGTCTAGTACATATTCGTTGTTACGTTTCACAATCCCAAACGAAGATTACCATTAACCTATTATTCGCTTCCCGTGTTTTAGAATAGTTCATGGCCATTCAAGTCTGAATAAAACGAAACCCAACCAAACCACATCCGCATCACACACAAAAGCTAATGAATTCGGTGTAGCCGTGCTGGGATTGAAAAGCAGAAGCCCAAGTGAAAATGCGGTTATTTCCTTATTATTTTAGTGCGGTCAGTATTCGTCAAATTTATTCTCTGCTGCAATAGTGGGAGGATTGCAGAGCGATCAATACAACGTTTATTATCATGGATCACTCGATGGGGCGGAGACCCATGGCGTTCCGGCCTGTGATGCTCGACTTGGCCTTGTTGGCCAGTGATGGGTTATCGACGATCTGCTCGGCACAGTCTGAAATCCTTGCTGCTTTGTTTCAGAACATGTCTGTGGTACAGAGTATGCGAGATCATTTCTGTTTGAGGTAACGAAAAGTTTACTTGTAGATGCGTGTCACGCCTTGAATGGCTTCCTAATTTAAAATTGTCTTTTTTTTTTCAGTAGAACCAAATTGTATCAGACCACTACCAATCGAACCTGTAAAATCAGTTTGGCTGAAAGTTGAGACTTTAGACAAATTCTGACTTTAACCATTTAAATGTCACATAGTGCAACCGTAAACTTACTCCAATTGCTGACTTCACAATGCAAACTTTGAAATTTTATCGAAATGGGATTAATAGACTTTACATCTCGGTTCATTTACCGTTACTCAGTGATTCGAGAGTGTGCGAGGATTCCGAGCGAATGAGCATCTGTCGTTATATTTGTCGGAACCCTCCGCGTGAACGATGTTTTCTAAACGGTAGGTAGGCCTATGCATCCACCCCATTACTTTCATCCTTCCTCTTCACGTTTAATCAACATGTTATTTACAGATAACATGTCATGGCCAGCAGGGGCGGCGGAACCGGGGGGGGGGGGCCTGGGGGGGGGGGAGTTACGATTTACCCAAGTGCCCCTTTTGCGGAAATAAATGTGCCCCCTCGAGCAAAAATACTGAGCAAGTTTGAAAACCGTTCCGCCGCCGCTGATGGCCAGGGACAAGTTCCCTATTTTCACGGACTACTTAATATACCGCTATGTCTCATGTCTTTCGTCCGTGATATTTTTACCTTGGTCTTTTGTACCTTTCTATAACCAAAATTGCAAGAGTCACTTGTTTGAAATCATGCCAAACCCACAACACATTCAGAAGTTAATATGCTGGTTCTGCTGCTGTTCAGCTGTTGCATGGACCACTTTGTCATGCTGCATTGATATGTCATAGTGTAACCGTTTTTAATTACAGAAATTGCCCTGAATTGTGAAGTGAACCAAACTGTGAACTGCAGATACAACGATGCGATTGTGTGTCAGTACGTAGACGGGAGAGGTTTGTGTATTTATCACTTGTCACTGCCGCCATTTTGTGCATGCG